AATCGATCGCAGAATTACACAGGATATGCACCTTCAAATTCCTTCTCCAAAGACAATGAAAAGTCTCAGTCTCAACCACAGAAGAAAGGAAGGCCTTCCGTAATTGATTCAGGCGACGAGAACTGAACTTTTGTACCTGAAGTAGACTATTCTCGTGCTGACTTCAGGAGTGCTTGTTTCTTTGTCATGTTCGAATGAGTTTTCATCACATGACATCGTTTTGCATACTAAATGAGACGTAAAGGCGTTTCCGGTTCCGCTTTTTTTAACAAACCGGCTACTGGAACAATACACCAAACATCTAAAATTTAAGGCGATAAAATTGCGCGATTTCAAAATGGATCTAATAAAATGGTAGTTGAACTTCGTGTCGTACAATTTTGGTCTGAAATCATACTTGTGATTTTGAAATCACGCATATGATTTCAGACCAAATTTCACTCCACTCAGTTCAATTACCATTATTTACCTGCGAATGTCGCGGTACCCTAAAGTCATTTACTTTGTTTATTACTGTCAAAGCTATCACGAAACTGGATCTAGGACACATAGATAAATTCGAAATAAAAATTTAAAAAATTAGCCGTAGTGGTTCACATTCTCCATACAACGCGGAATTTGGTCATTTCACTTTGTTGCCTGCAGAGGACGGCAAATAAATGTACCAAGAATTATAACGCACGTGCACAGCCATTGCTCTGCTCATTAAACCTTTTGTTTAGCGACTTTGCCGTTGCCGTTGCCGTTGCCGTCGTGGTTTTCTTTGCTCCGTAGTATTACTCTAACGAGGGCTACAACAGCTTGAAACTTGTACTTGAAATCATTAGAGTCTCTCAAAATGTACATTTGAAATACAAAATTATTTTGTATACGCAAACATTTTCTTTGACTCAAAGAAAGATATCTCAATGCGAAATTAATTCGAAAGCTCAAAGCTTAGATAGAGTGTTTCTGTCAATCGTCTAAACATCTCTGTGCAGTCTGGATTGCGCAGGCGAGGAGAGTTAAAAAAACCATCGAGAAACCGGTGGTAGGGAATTTCAGGTAAAAATTGGGCCAAGAGCATGTACACGGAAACCGCCGGATCTTTCTCGAAATAACAGGGTTTATGGTGGAAACAATCTCCATCGGGTGTCCATTTGCCTACAACAACTGTTTGTAAGCAAAAAGGAAGAAGCCATTTTTCAAATTTTCAACTTCTGTCTCATGCCATGCTCGGGTTTTACTGACCGGCGTTCATAGCACTCATTCCCGATCCGCAACATTCGCTTTGTTAATTTTCGATGCTAATGGAAATGGTAAGTTTAACTTGTTCGTGATCAAAATAAAAACAAATTGTGAATGTAGTATCCCTTCGTTATGAACTATAGATGACACTGGGTGATTCCAGTTTTAAACTTGCAGTTTAGTGACTGGCAAAAAGTTCAACGTAATTTACACTCGACAAGTTTGGTTTCTATGTCAAAAGTGTTGTCAAAAATTTTTATCAGAAACAAATTTTACAAAAAAGCTTGCAAAATGTATCCGTAAGGGAAAGGGGGACGAAAAATTTATTGTTTCCTACCTTAAATTATAAATTAATGTTTCCTACCTTCTTTCGAAATTACCTCTCTCCACTACGGCGAATGTGTATCAGAAGAGTTAAAAACAGAAGCTGATCTTGCTTTTTATCTGAAATGTTTTAACTTTGGTATGTCTAAAATGCTTTAGTTTAGCCTTTCATATATTTCATTGCCTGGGGCCTGACGATTGGTTTTAGGTAAATGAAAGCATGTGTTTTATTTAGGAAACTCAAGATCAACATATTCTTTTCGCGGAAGCAAATACAGTTGACAGCTTTATAGCTTAGAGCTCAAATCTGTGTTAAAACTAGCTCTGAATAGATTCTGTCAGCTCGGGGACATAGAGAGACCATTTTATGCTTGCCTTAGAACTCTTCCTTTAGTTGAATAAAAGAAGGAGGAGAATTCCTTGAGAAGTGGCAAAAATATATCTTCAAAAATGATCACCTTGAAGTAGTAGCAGTACTTCAAAGGCGATTAACATTCGATTGTGATGCTTTCGTAATTGTTTTTTCCCTTTATTTGCGTTATCTTTGATGATGGAAAGGCATGTTTTACTTCACTCGCCATTAATCTTCGATACATTTACATTTAACCATCGCTACTTATAAATGATTTATTCTTTTCCGGTACAGAGAGACCAGGACATTTTCATTCCAAATCAATTTGATCAACTAAGCTTAGTTTGAACCCACTATGGGTTTGAACCCACAGTTGTGTATCAGACTATGAAGACTTAGGCCTAGGGCAAATGTCGAATCCAAGTCGCGTCGAATGAATTAAAAATAGGTTCGGCAAGCAAACTAAAAAACTTTTGTTAGGTAGACAAAAAAAAAAGGTTTCGCAATCTAAAAACAGCTTGCTTTCGCAATAGTAATAACAGAGAAAACAACGTCGGCAACGTCTGTTTCAGTGTTTGCGGGGGATTTAGTACACTTAGGCGAGTGTTTCAATAACTCATAGATAACAAGGAAAGAAAATTTCCTATCTATTCGGTAAATAAAATGCTTGTAGTAAATTTTGATAAATGGGATAAAATATAGTTGTGGTAAATGGTCTACAGCCAATCACAATCGAACAGCCAATCGTTCTGTTCTGTGTGCTTCTTGCCTTGGTCGCTCCTTTCAAAAGTCTTTGCAGCTGATTTAGACAGAGTCGATCGAAAATTTCATCTGCCGCAAAAACGTGTCAATCTTTATTGATTTCGAGCCGAAAGTGACCCTGAAGCTTATCGTAATGGCTTCATAAGTATGGAGCGACTAGGAGTATTTCTTCTCCGAGGGTTAGCCCCAGCATCTTAATTAACCAATACCCATTTATAAACGTGCGTGTTAGATCAAGGGGTACCGCAAGAGTAAAGTGTCTTAGTAAAAAACAGAACACAATGACCTTGATTGGAAGTCCGGTAACACACTAAGCACCAGGTTCCTGCACCTATCACGAATTTGAAAAGATAGCCGTATATTTTGCGTTACTGTAATCTTGCGTTAGCCAGCACTTTTAGGTGACGCGGCGAAATAATGAAAATTTCTTGTGTCCTGATAAGCGGTATTTCGGTCCCCATTATGAATTATTTTTAACGTTGCACATGGCATAGAAATAATTATTTTAAACACCCAAACGATAACAATACTATGGCTAGTATCTCGCCACGGATGGGTTTTTAAATAGAAAGGTGAAATCAAGAATGTGCTGCCTGCTCAAATAGAGAGGCGCTCTGAACGTAAATACAAAACGCACGGAATGCTAAATGCAACTTGTAACTGGATCAAACATCGATGTGGATATTAATTACAAAAACCTCAGGTCTGTGTTTCATACGATTTAACGCATTTTGGCTTTTTGTTGTTTATGAACCCTCAAATATAAGCTAAATATTGGCTTGAAGTTTCCTTACCCGAAATGGGGATTTGAGAGATAAAGCCAAAGTCGCAAGGAC